CCCCAGCGGTGGGACGGGCCCCCCCCGGGCAGCCGGGGCGCGTGGCAGCCGGCGAGGCCGCCCGTGACTCGTCACCGTCCCCGTGCAGGCCCCACCATGACGCACCAGTACCCCGCGCTGACGGCCGAGCAGAAGAAGGAGCTCTCGGACATCGCCCTGCGCATCGTGGCCCCGGGCAAGGGCATCTTGGCTGCTGATGAGTCCGTAGGTCCACCCCCTTTTTTTTCCGCCCCCCCCGCCCCATGTGCCTGCCCGTCTTGGGGCTCACGGGGGGTCACCGCTGCCGCAGGGAGCATGGCCAAGCGCCTCAACCAGATCGGGGTGGAGAACACGGAGGAGAACCGCCGGCTGTACCGCCAGGTCCTCTTCAGCGCCGACAGCCGCGTCAAGAAGTGCATCGGGGGCGTCATCTTCTTCCACGAGACCATGTACCAGAAGGCCGATGATGGGACTCCCTTCGTGCAGATGATTAAGGACAAGGGCATCGTCGTGGGCATTAAGGTGGGGGGGGGTACCCCAGCACGCTGGCTATTTGTGGCTGGTGGCATCGGCAGGGACTCAGAGCCACCTTCCCCTTCCCTTTGCAGGTGGACAAGGGCGTCGTGCCCCTGGCTGGGACGGATGGAGAAACCACGACTCAGGGTATGGGACATGGGCGGGCTGGGGTGCCAGGTTTGGGGGTTCTGGGTTTGAAGATATCAGGTTTGGGGGTGTCAGGTTTAGGGATTCTGGATCTGGAACTGCTTGGTTTGAAGTGCCAAGCTTGGAGGAGCCTGGTCTGGAGGTGGTGCTGGACTTAGGGGTGCCAGGCTTGGAGGTGCTGGGCCTGGAGGCGGTGTCCCCCTGCCGCGTCCCCACATGTCCCCACGTCCCCCCGTGTCCCCCCAGGCCTGGACGGGCTCATGGAGCGCTGCGCCCAGTACAAGAAGGATGGCGCTGACTTCGCCAAGTGGCGCTGCGTGCTGAAAATCAGTGACAACACCCCCTCTGCCCTTGCCATCATGGAGAACGCCAACGTGCTGGCCCGCTACGCCAGCATCTGCCAGCAGGTATCTGCCCAGGCTGGTGTCCGTCTGTCCAGGGGGACGGGCTGGGACCCACGAGAATAGGTGGGATGGGCTGGGATCCACGAGGATGGGTATCGCGGCATGGGGATGGACTCAATGATCTTGAAGATCTTTGATTCTGTGATGATGGGCATCACTCATCTTCAAGGACAAGGGTTGCATGGCAAGGCTGGGCATCTACCCATGGGTTTGGGCATCACTGTTGGGTTGGGCATCACTCATAGAACTGGGCATCAGGCCTCGGGGCCGGGCGTCACCCCACTGGGTTTCACAGCCGGGGCGATGCCCAGGACCCTCCCCACACTAGTATCACTCCGTGCCTTGCAGAACGGCATCGTGCCCATCGTGGAGCCAGAGATCCTGCCGGATGGGGACCACGACCTCAAGCGGTGCCAGTACGTGACGGAGAAGGTGAGTGTCACGGTGTGGTGGGCCCTGGGGCGGGCGCTAGGCCATGCTGTGCCATGCCAGCGTCCTCCCCGCTGCCCGTTGTCCCCACCAGGTGCTGGCGGCCGTGTACAAAGCGCTGAGTGACCACCACGTCTACCTGGAGGGCACCCTGCTGAAGCCCAACATGGTGACCCCTGGCCACTCTTGCCCGACCAAGTACAGCCCCGAGGAGATCGCCATGGCCACCGTCACTGCCCTGCGCCGCACTGTCCCCCCAGCTGTCCCAGGTACCGGGATGGGCTGGCAACGGGGGGCAATGGACGAGGGTCCCGTTTCGGGGGGCTCCGTTGAGGCTGAAACGCCGCTCTCCACAGGTGTCACCTTCCTCTCCGGAGGCCAGAGCGAGGAGGAGGCCTCCATCAACCTCAACGCCATCAACACGTGCCCGCTGGCGCGGCCCTGGGCCCTCACCTTCTCCTACGGGCGGGCGCTGCAGGCGTCGGCGCTCAGCGCCTGGCGCGGGCAGCGTGACAACGCCAGCGCCGCCACCGAAGAGTTCGTCAAGCGCGCCGAGGTAGCGACGCCAAGGGCCACATCCCACGTGGTGACTGAGCACTGTGTCCCATGGGGTGAAGGGTTGGGTGCCCGTGGGATGGGGGACATTGAGGATCACATCCCATGTGGTGATGGGGGACACTGAGTGCTAAATCCTATGGGGAGATGGGGGGCACCAAGGGTTGTGTCCCCATGGAACAGAGGACACCAAGGGCCACATCCCATGTGGTGATGGAGCACTGAGCACTGTGTCCCATGGGGTGAAGGGTTGGGTGCCCGTGGGATGGGGGACACTGAGGATCACATCCCACGTGGTGATGGGGGACACTGAGTGCTAAATCCTATGGGGAGATGGGGGGCACCAAGGGTTGTGTCCCCATGGAACAGAGGACACCAAGGGCCACATCCCATGTGGTGATGGAGCACTGAGCACTGTGTCCCATGGGGTGAAGGGTTGGGTGCCTGTGGGATGGGGGACACTGAGGATCACATCCCACGTGGTGATGGGGGACACTGAGTGCTAAATCCTATGGGGAGATGGGGGGCACCAAGGGTTGTGTCCCCATGGAATGGAGGACACCAAGGGCCACATCCCATGTGGTGATGGAGGACACTGAGCACTGTGTCCCATGGGGTGAAGGGTTGGGTGCCCGTGGCATGGAGGACACAAAGGGCCAGATCCCATGGGGTAATGGGGGGCACTGAGCACCATGTCCTGGGGAGTGATGGGGGAAAACAAGGACCGTGTCCCCATGGGGTGATGAGGAACGCTGAGGACCACGTCCCATGAGGAGGGAGGGGAGAACAAGGACCTTGAACTCAGGGGGTGATGGGGGACCCTGATGACCACGTCCCACAAGAAAACAGGGACACTTGGAGCTGTGTCCCCATGGGATGGGGGACACCGAGGGCCACATCCCGGGGGGCGATGGGGGGGGCACCGAAACTCACGTCCATTGGGGTGCTGGATGGGGGACCCCGCGTGCTGCGATGCCGGCGGGGGGG